AGGAGGGCAGGCAGGTGGGCAGCACAGGCCCAGCCCAGACTGGGCAGCAGGTCTGTGCCAACCCTCCCAGGGTGTGGGTGAGGAGGGCTACTTGGGGGCGTCGGGGGGGATCTGCAGCAGAGTAGGCGAGGTCTCCATGATCCGCACCAGTAGCCGGTCGATGTAGCTCTCCAGCTCCTGCACGTGCTCGTCCCGCTGGCTCAGCTCGCGCTCCCGCTGCAGGAGCAGGCCGATGAGCTCGTCGTGGGTCAGGTGGTAGTACTTGGCAGACTGGTCCAGCACAGCTGAGTCCTGAGGCCAGCCAGAAGGACAGTGAGCAGGGCAGTGCCCTCCCAAGTGACCACCAAACCCCAGTTTCACCACCAAAGGTCAGGAACCACCGTGGTCCCCACATCAGAGACAGACTAATGGCTTGGAGTGTCTGGTGTGCAGGCGGCATGCTCCCTGCTCCACCCTCCCAGCACCTGCCCCAGGCTCCTGACCTCTCCACAGCACCACCTGCCCCAGCACTCCCAGGATCTCACCTTCAGTCTCTTGGCATCTGAGGTCTGGCCGACCTGGGGTGCGGGAGCCACAGGCTGAACGCTGCCAGATGTGACCGTCTTGAGCTTTTCCAGCCCACTGCTCAGGGCTGTGCTCAGACTGGAGCGGGGCTGCTTCCTGTCGGGGCTGCCCTCCGCAGGGGCAGCACTGAGGGGCTTCACGGGGTGGGGACTGTGAAGACAGACAGGAGATGGGTTACGCGAAGAGAAGGGGAACACGAGCCAAAGGTGAGGCCACGTCCTCTGCAAAGCCTCCAGGCCTGCTGGATGGAAAGTCCGCGCAGCTGAGGCACAGCTGTGCCTGCACTCCTGCCTGCCTGCTCTGTCCACCCTGTTCTCCTTGGCCTGCCCACTACCTGCCCCGCCGTTTCACTCCCTCCTAGGCCAACAGCCATCCTACACCCTCTGTATGTGTCCCCAGTTAGCCAGGGATGACCCTCTCCAGCCACCACCCCTCCCTCCCTCCTCTTCTGCACTGTGACCTTTAAGGGATGACCAACCTTCCCAGTTACCCAATTTTTCCAGGACTGTGAGGATTCCTAGGACAGGGGACTTTCAGTGCCCAAACCAGGACAGACCTTGCAAGGTGGGAGGCCTGGCCATACCCTCTCTGCTGGCTGCTTCCCACCTGCATTTCGACAGGCCTGAGCAAGGCTCTCTGACCCTGCATCTGCTCTGGCTAGACCAAGTCAGCCCTGCTTCCTTCTCGCCCAGCCTCTCCAGGGCACAAAGACTACATCTGTCACTAGCGAGGACAGAGCCCCACAGCCCAGCACAAGTGAGCTTGTTGAGGCCCCTAAGCCCTACCGCTCTCACCCGGCTGGCCTCTCCTGGAGCCCACTCTTGGCCCACTCCTTCCTTTAGCCCTCTCTCCTCCTTTCCCCCCAAGACCTCTCTCGGGGTTTCTGACCTCTGACAGCCTGTTCTCGTTCTAAACTGCCCGTGTGCCCTTGGGTTCTCTCCTGTCCTCCTTGCCTCTCAACACCCCCTACCCTCCGTCCCCAGCCCAGATCTCAGCCTTGAGCTCCAGATCTGTGCAGATGACCGCAGGCAGGCTCGCTCCACTCGGGGCCACCTCGATGAGTCTCACTCCCTTCCGCACCTGCCTGTGGCTGTGTGCGCTGTGCGCACTGGCAGTCGAAAACATCTCTGGCTCACCCAGAAACCTGCGGTCCCTTTGACTCCCCTCAGCCTCTGCCTTAGCAGTCACCCCTCCCTGCCCCTTCCTACCTCCCCTCAAACTACTCCCTGGCCCCAGCCAGCACCTCCCCCATTCCTCCCCTCTGCACTGAACAGTCTAACCCAGTCTAACACAGTCACCCCTGCCCTTTCCTCAGGGCCACCAGCCAGTCCCACACCCTACCCTCAACCTCGCCCCCACCCCCCACTGCACTCCTCTTATCTTCAGGCTGTCACAAAAGCGATTCCTCCAGGTGCCCTGCTAATCCTCACTCATGTTTCAAAGCTGTGCAAGGCCACTTCCTGCAGGAAGCCTTTCTAACTCCCCAGGGCTAAGACGACCTTTGTCTAGACTCCCCCAGTTCCCTACATCTGTGTCAGTTACATAAACTATAAGCATCGGGCCCCCAAATCAACTAACTTGGCCCCCCTGGCAGACCTTGTTCGAATTTACGTTTACTTTGAAGAGAATTTAGACTATTCAGGAACAGGAAGCAAAATGGCACGGTCCAGGGCCTTGAACTCCACTGAACATAGGCTCATCTCGACCCAGAGAAGCTGGCTGTCAGAACAGGGCTATGGATGTGACTCAGAAATCCTTAGAGGCACAGCGCCCAGGCATGGCTGGCAGTAGGGAAAAGAATGCACCTCAGGCCTCCCCTGCCAGCCAGTCTATGCTAGGGATGTGGACGTCAAAACAGCTCTAATGCCACGTAGGGCCGTGCCAGGGGGGCAGGGAGGTGACCAGTGCAGCGGAAAAGCACCCCACATGAGGTGGCAGGAATTGCCCCCTACATTTCAAGAACCCTGGAACCTACAGTGCTCATGGATCCACTCTGTCTGAGAAAGGGGGGCAGAACTACTGGGCCACCCACTTGCCCCTCCTCACGGGTCTCCTAGAGCACTAACATCCCTCCGGATCTGCTGCCCCTCCCCCAAGCCACACCCCACTACTGCCCAGGGCCTGAGGTCCAGACCTCCACTCTCATCACCCCTCACAGTCACCAGGTGAGGTCTTCCACACAGACCAATGCCAGGGTGACCACAGTCGCACAGCAATCCGAAATGGGTCACAACCACTGAAAGCACAAAGTGGACGCCTAGAAGTGCGGCCGGAGGGCCTTTCTTCCGAGGGTCACACGCACACGTGGGAGGCATTTCCCCCCCTTTCTCTGTAGGTGTCTCTGGTTTCCTCTCTGACATTAAGCCGTAGCCCCTCCCCGGCTCTCCGCCTCCCCACAGCCTGTCACTCGAGGCCCGGCTGCTGCTGCCACAGTCTGCTTTCCCAGGCCCACTGTGACAACTGGCCCATTTGAGTGTCCCAGGCCCACCCACAGCTCCCCTGCAGCTGAAGGCTGAGAGCGTGAGCTCCGGAAGGTCCCTGGCACAGCTGGCACACCCCTTCCCCCCCAGCCCACGTAGTGACTCCTGCTTCATTCCTCATCCCGTGCACCTGTCAGTGCCATTCCCCAGATCCGTGGATTGTGGGGGCACCCTGACTGGCCAAGGACCCCGGGAGGATGCAGCTTCAGAGCTGGTTTCACCAAAAGCTCAAGCCTTCCAAGCTTCTACTGTCCTGCCCCCAGGATGGAGAAGGCCCTCAGCTGCCCTTGAAAGGATGAGGCTGGAGCAGGAACACTTCAGCCCCTGGGCTGCTCACCCCTCGCCACCCGCTTCCTCCTGGTGTTCGTGGGGTGGACGCTCACCTGGCACTGGACTGTGGCTCCTCAGCTGGTCGTGTCTCCAAGGGCAGAAGCACAAGCGGGGAGGCTGGGGTGGTTGCAGTGCGGTCCTCCCCTCGTGGGGCAGGGGAGCCCCCAAGGGGTGAGGCTGGCTCCCCAAAGGGTGGGGAGGAAGAGGGCAGGGGCCAGGCTCCAGGCAGGGGGGAGCACGGAGAGCTGGGCTCCCCATGGTGGTGGCTGGCCCAGGGTGGGAGAGGGGGTGGTGGGAAGGTAGGCTCTGGGGGTGTGGGCAGCTCCTCTGGACTAGAGTGAATGGAAGAGTCCCTGGATCCTGGCGGTGATGTAGATGGGAGGCTGGGGGGATCTCGGCTCCCCTGAGGTAAGAAGGGGTTCAAGACATCCTCCTTGGAGGCCCACAAATCAGCCTGCTGGAAGGTGGCTGGCAGAGGCCCACGACCCCCTCCCACCAGTCCCTGGCTCTGGGCCTCAGGAGTCTCAGGGCCTCCTCCTCTCTCAAGAGCCTCCAGGGTCTGCTGACTCTGAGGAGCCAAACTCTTTGAATAACAGGGCGGGGGAGCAGGACCCTCAGGGCAGCTGGTGGGCGCAGTCAGGCAGGGCCCAGACACAGGGGGGTTGGCATCCTCTACCAGGTCTTCCAGGCCTGGCTCACCCAATAGGGTTCCAGAAGAACGGCTGTCAGACTCCTCCGACTCTGGCTTCTCCCCTTCCTCCCTGGTCTCCTGGGGACCAGCAACCAGTGCATGCGGGGAAGCACCTCCTCTTGTCCCTGCCTCCCCATGACTTGGCTTCTCTGCAGCCTTCTCTTCCTCTTCCTCGTCCTTTTCCTGTGAATGTGCGGGCGTGAAGAGGCGTGGCGGCTTGGGAGGCGGTGTGCTGGGTTGCGGCGCACCGTCTGACACCTGCTCAGGTTTGGGCTCTGGCTCCCGGTCTAGTTGGGGCAGCCCATGGCTCCCTTTGGGGCTCAGAGTTTCTGGTGATTCTGGCTGCACCCGGGAAGGAGGCAGCTCATCAGACCCTCCCGGCAGGACAGTTGAGGCCATCTCCGCTGCAGGAGAGAGGGTGACCACATCCCAAGGCCAGGAATCGTCAACAGTATTCAGCTCCTGGAACAGCTGGCTTTCACTCTGGGTGGCCTCTTCCTCCTGGCCCTCAGGGGTGTCGTCTGGGCCGGGCAGCCTCTCCCACACACTGATCACTTCCGGGGAGCTGAACAGAGACGTCCCACTGTCCACTGGACTCTGCCTCGCTTCACCTTCTTGGGCAGGCAGCAGCTCCCTCTCTGGCTCTGAGGCAGAGGCTCTAAGGTACTGCTGGGCTGACGCGGAGGCTGGGCTGCCCCCTACGGACTGGAGGGGCCCCAGGTCAGGTGCGCTCGTGCTCGTGCTCGGGTGGTGCAGTCCCAAGTCCAGAGGAACCCTGGGCTCCAGCCACACGCTGCTCCCACCTCTTCTTCCTCCTCCTCCTCCCCCGGGGTCTCCAGGGGGTTCGGCTGCCTTCACTGTCACGGCCCCTGGGTCTTGCAGCCCCGCCGCCTCCAGCCCCACTCCTGCAGGGGCCAGGGTCTCACTCCTGGCCTCTGGACGCAGCCTGCTGGCAGCAAAGACGTTGAAGGTGTCGTCCCACTCAGGCGGGGCTTTCTCAGGGGAGGCCAGGGGGGTGGGGCTGGCCCTCGAGGCACTGGGGAGAGAGGGAGCAGGTGAAGGAGAGTTTAGTGCTATGTCAGCTACCAGCTCCTCGAAGAAGGGGTTGCTCTGCAAGGAGGTGAGGAACGGGTTGGTGAGACCCAAGAATCCAGATGGGATGGCTTCGGGGGCGGCGGTGGCGGCAGCAGCACTGGCAGCAGAGGGGGAGGCGGCTGCAAAAAGGTTAGTGCTTAGCATGGGAGCAGCGGTGGGAGCAGGAGTGGGGTGGGCCGGAGCCCAGGGGGAGCAGGGGAGCTGGTGAGGAAGAGCAGCTGGGTCAGGTTCTACCTGAGGAGACACGTCCAGGCTGTGGAGGGAGACAAAACCGTGAGCCTCCTGGTTAATGCCGAGACTGGAAATGCCCTGCTGGACCCCACGCCCCCGCCCCCACTCCGGTGAGGCCGGCGCCCCGCACGCACACGGGCTGCGTTTGGCCAGGGGACAGAGGGGAGACCCCTGTGTGACACTCTTAAGCACCACCTGAGGACTGTGCAGGGCTACTTTAATCCTCACGCCAACCCCGGGAGCAGCAATGCCAGTTTACAGGCATGGCCCAGACCTAGACTGAGTGTTCTCCCTGTGAGGCCATGCCGAAGACTACCCAACCACAGATGTATGTCCAAAACAAACTCCAAAGAACCTTACACCCCTTTCAGGACAGAGAACACAATACCAGCTAGCCCAGAGGGACTGAAAGACCAGAGAGAGGCCAGGCCTAGCCATCTGGCTGGACAAAGCCAGAACTAACAGGACCTAGCAGGCACCCGTAATTCTAACCCTGACCCAGCCTGGGTTTGACTGTTCTCTTAGAGAAACGGGAGGAAATGATGGCGCTGTTACGGGGCACGACAAGGTGTCCACCAAAGAGCGCCTGCCCCTCATTTGAGACATGTGATAAGGACGTTCACTGTGGGCTGTCTACACAGCCTGGCCCCTGGAGTGCTGTGCCCCTCCCCTCGCTTCCCTCAGGAGACAAAGGCTGGAGATGTGTTCAGCATCAACTCTGAACGTCAGCAGGGGCCTGCACAAAGATCCCAGACCCCAGAAGGTGAGGACAGGGTTAATCGCCTTTGAAAATCCTTCTGGGACAATGAACCTACATCCTCAAAGCAACTGGAGAACACCTGCTGGCTTCAAGCGTCCTGGCCAGGGTCCCTGAAGAGAGGAGCACCCCTTGCACCTTATCACACCTACAGAGCAAAGCTGACTTCAGAGACGTGGGCGGTGCACTCTCTGACACCGGGGGATGCAGGAAGGGCAGGGAAGTGGCGTGGGGTGGGGGGAACACCCATTTCCAGCAGGCTGTCAGCACTTTGCAGCTGCCTGCAGCGGAGCGCACCTGTCAGACCAGGCCTCAGTGCTCTCGCCCTCTGCTGTCCAGTGGTCTCCCTCTTCACAACAGGTCTCTAATCTCAGCCCTAAGCCCCAGGATCCTGACTCCTTGACTCCTCCCTGCCCTGATGGAAACACCCTGGGGGAACTCCTGCAAATCCATCCTCTTCCCTGGGAAGTGTGATGGTGAGCCCCAAGTGGCAGGGCCCAGGCTTCACTCACTTGCCCACAAGGAACGGAGCCCAGACTATATGAAGCTTGCAAGGCTCTGGGACCCAGGGCCCAGGTAGGGCAGGCCCGACACAGAGGTGGGCCGTGGCAAGGTCAGGTGACCAGCTGATGCCACAGCAGGAAGCAGAGAAAGCACCAGTTACACCAGAGGCATGGTCTTGCCTGTCCTCACACCACCACCTCCCCATACCCACCAGGAGGCCCGTGCCACGGCTCAGCATGAACCAATGGCTCACAGCAGGGCTGGTGGGCTTCATCTCAACAACCTGCCCCCCTGAACCGCACTGGTAGAGCCGAGCGCAGCAGCCATGGGACACGGCAGACAGAGCCCTCAGTCTCCCTGTCCAGCCCTATGACAGCGGGAGGGCAGTCAGCCTCCAGGCAGAATATAGCCAGGCCTCACACCATAGGTTTCCATGAGAATCCAACTTCCAGAGGTCCTCACGGCCATATTTCCCTAAAAAAAAAACTCCCCATGCAAGGGTGGATTTTCAGTCTCACCTCCACCCCCTAGAGATGGAGGGAGGGGTAGTAACCCTCCCCACTGCCAAGAGAGAGAGTCCCAACCCCTTCATTCAGAGTCCCTCTCCTTCAATCCGGGCAGGCCCCCCACCCAGGCACACCTGCCAGCCCAGGAAGCAAGGGAAGTCACGTGGATCAGGACCCTGTCCCCACCCACATCCCACTAGAACATCCATATCGGATATGGCCCCCACCCTGCCAGCAGGACTCAGGCCCCAGGAGCAAAGGGGTGCTCTGAGCTACTGCTCTCCCCAGGAAGGAGGGCCAGAGTGGTCGGAGGAAAAAGAAGCCCATCGACACTACAAAGCACCAGCTTGGGTCCACCTCACCAGCCCCTGCTGGGCTCCACTCACCCTTGCCGCCTCACAGCAATCTGGCTGGCAGTCACAACTGCAGGGAGAAGGGTGGCAGGGACAGCGACTGGGAGCCCCAGGCAAGGCGAGGCAGCCTCCCTGCCCCCACCGGTTCCCCAGAGGAACACATGAGCCTGTTGGTATGGAACCGGCAAAGGGCTCTCCCTGGAGGAAAGGACTCCAGGGACAGGACTGGCAGGCTTCCCAGCACTGGAGGTACCTGAGAGCAGCTGTCCGTCTTCCTATCTTGCAACACACGTGCCCAGCCCCCTTCACGCCACGCTCCCTGCTCCACACCAGCCATGCTTCCCTGCTCCACACCAAGAGCACAATCTAGAAGCCTTTACTGTACGACCTCCCCTCTCCCCACCTGGCACAGAGTGCTCCGTGTGCAATGTCTCTACAGGCTGTGTGCTGAGAGTAGAGGTAAACACCTCTGCCTGCTAGAGCCCACCCTGCCGGCCTAGCACAGCCTCCCAGCCCCAAGCAGTGGGAACTTGTCTTCTCTTTCAGGACCAAACATTGGAGGAAAAAAGGAGAAGCCCAAGTGCCTCTGACACTTCGACCTGAGAGAACAACACTTCAGGGCCTGAAGAACCTTGGGACAATCAGCTGAACTTGCCACCCAATGCAGGACTCACTGCTCAGGCCAACAGCTCCCTCGTCTTAGACACTGCACACCCGGGGGCTGCCTGTGAGCGGGAGGCCAGGCTGCGCAAGTGACGAGTCCTCCACAGGCTGAGACAAGTTCTATGTCCCTGTTAGTGCCACACATTGGTCCTGAAGATGGCAAGTGGCTCTGCACAGGCTCCATCAGGAGTCCCTTAAAGGGCCAACGCGGCAACACCCCCCTGGCTCACAGTGAGGAGGAGAAGGAGCTGGAATGGGGATCAGGGGCTATGCCCACCTCCAGCCAACATGCCCTTCAGCCATCCCCTCCTAAGGCATGACTGGTGTGCTCCTGAGATGTGCCCAAGGTTGCGGACACACCCTCTCCTGTCACCTAGGCATACTGAGGTGACGGAGAAGCTCATAACCGCAGCAACAGGGAGAGCACAGAATTTATCTCCCAAACCAGAACACTGTGGATGCAGTAAGGAGGCCAGGAAAGCAGGCGCGTGCTAACTCAAGCCACTGGGCTCGTTTACGCCACCAGGAATCCAGCTGCCATGGCACATTCCAGGCCTGCAGGGACCCGGTCAAGCCACACCTGGTGAGGAGCTGCCGGGAGGCAGAGACTGCGGGAGACGCCACAATTCGCTTGCCTCTGCGGTGCCACACTTACCCCAGTTCAAACATCGTTCGTGTGTAACCTCTAACTCCCCGCGCGTGGTGAGAGGGGAGTGACTTGAAGATAGCCACGCTGGCACTGGCAGCTCTCACAGGTGTGGTCTTGCCTGTCCTCACACCACCACCTCCCCATACCCACCAAGAGGCCCATGCCATGGGCTCAGTGTGAACCAATGGCTCACAGCAGGGCTGGTGGGGTTTCGTCTCAACAGCCTGCCCCCCTGAACCGCGCTGGTAGAGCCAAGTGTAGCAGCAATGGGACACGACAGACAGGGTCCTCAGTCTCCCTGTCCAGCCACTGCTTTCTCCAACTCAGCCTTTTCCTGGTCGCTGCACTCAGTACCGTTGGCTTCAGCCTCTTTGTGGGGCGGCAGTGCCACATGGGGGCACCAGAGGGCGCCGCTACCCTTGCTGGTGAGAAACATGCAGTCTACAGTGGCAGCCCCAAGCAGAGGGACCCCCAGCCACTGAGCCAGTGGACAAGCTCCCCAGGTCCTAGCTGGAGTCCTGTGGCTCCGTTCAGCACTCCAGGTCTGGCTAAGCGTTTCCTGCTGTGAGCTAGCCCACCCCACCCATTAGGTGCCAGCAGTCGTCTCCTCCAGGCCAGCCTTCCCTTTCCTTCAAGGCACAGACAGCCAGGGTGCAGCTGCTGGAGCTAATGTCCCTCCAGGACAGGCCACTTTGCCCAAAGAATGGCCCCTCTGCCCTACCTGGATGTGCAGCCACAGCCTACAAACGGGCCCCCAGGGGGGTGGGCTCAGAATTCAAGTGTGAGGGGATAAAAGCTGAGGCTCACTGTGTCCATCAGTGACCCCAATTCTCTGATGTGGAGCAGCAGAAGGAAAGCGGGGACTGTGGCATTCCAGGAGCAACAACAACCCTGACATCACTCACGGTCACAGCCCACAGGAGCCTAAGCCAAAACCTGGGCACTTACCTACCAACGACCTCACCGAGAAACATTCCTCAGCTTCTGCCCTGCTCCACAGAGGGTCCGGAGACCCTACAGATGACAGCACTGGGCCTGCCCAGTCTGCTCCGCACCCAGGCCCAGTTCCTGGCAAGTGCCCTGTCCCAGTCTCTTGCCGTTTCCCTCTGCCCACCACCTCCAAATATCTCTGGCCACAAGGCCACTAGGATCAGTCGGAGTACCTAGGAAGAGCCTGTCCCTTCTTCCTTGTCTTCCTCTAGGCTTCAGCTGGCCAGCGGTCCCCTGGGCTATGAGTGAGGGCCAGGCAGCAGGAGCTGCTGTACAAGGCAGGGGAGGCGAAGGGGGGCAGCACCCTGAGGTGGTTGCACTCCACACATCCCTCATCCGGGAGGTTCTGACGAGGGCTGCCAGCTGGCCAGGGTCCAAACTAGAAGGCCCTGCATCCCCCTCCTCTCAGCAGACCCAGAACCTCACAGGCACAGAGAAAAACCAGGACTTTGGGATTCCTTTCCTCTCTGCTGGGGGACAGGCTTAGGTCCTCCTTGTGTCCCCACTCTCAATTCCTCAGCACTGTGCCCAGCCTTCCTGCCCACGTACCCATCAAGTAGAGAGGTAGGCTCACGAGAGAACAAACAACTGTCCTCACCATATGGGCTGGGGCCACTGCAGATGCTGCCCAGGGCTGGCCCCAGGGGGGATGTGCTTCTGTGACCTGTGCCTGATGCTCTCCCTGGGCCTTGCCAACAACACAGCAGCACCCCCTAGCTCACAGTGAGGAGGCGGCAAAGAGGCCAGGACGGGGATCAGGGGCTCTCCCCTGGGCCTGAACTGGAGGGGCCTCAGCACATCCAAATCAGAGCAGCCCTTCTGACAGTGCAGAGAGATGTCAGAGGCCACCAGAGCCCCAAGGATGTCTAAGAACCCAGGGTAAGGCTACCCTAGATTTTAGGTGAGCTGCCCACAGCCTCTCATCAGGCTGGAAAACAACTGGGGGGTCATTGCACAGGGGGAGGAGCCTGGGCCTCAATTATTTGACTCTATCTCTCAGAGGGCAGAGATCACAGAGCCCACTGTCCTCTAGCTTCAGAGAGGGCAAGGGAAGCCCAAAGGTACAGTTCCCAGTCCCCACTTCTCTACTTGCCAAGGCTTCTTTTTTTTTTTTCTTAAGAGAGATTACTGCTATAAGGGTGTGTGCACTTGCTGGAGACACAGACAGAAAGCAAGAAATCACTCTCCAACTGGGATGGCCATGCTGCAATCCCTTCTCCTCATTCTCCTCTTGGGATTTTAGGCACACAAGCACACAGGCCCGGCATGAGTTTCAAGCCTCCAGGTCTGGGACTTGAACCACAGTCAGCCATGTGGGAGAAGCAACGTAACCATTATGTTATCTGCTGGTCCCTGCCAAGGCTTCTTTATCTTGAGGCCAGAGAGGGAGAAGTAGAGATCAGGAGGCAAAGAATTTATATAAAAGGTCTGCCCCTGCTTTTCTCCTATTCCTCCTATTCTCCCCTCTCCTTGGGTTGGGTGTGCTAATTCATGCAAGTCCCATGACGAAGGCACTGGGCCCTCAGAGCACCATGCCCATGCAACTCACCTGCATCCGTGTGCACGGAACGAGCCTTGGCTCTGGGAGACAGGATACCTCCACTTAACCATGCAAAGGAGAGCTCCAAAAGCCTGACCAATGGCCACACCTGCCCCGCCCACCTGCCCCAGCATCCGGGCTGCAAACACCCCAGCATTCTGCCCAAGGAGCAAAGCTGGTCTTGCCAAAGACGTACCTGGGTTTCTGACCTTGTTCCTTGGCTTCTCTCAAGCCAAACCAGCTACTTTTGGCCTTTTCTTCCCCGCTGGATGAGTGGTGGGGGGAGACTCCTGGGGCGACACCCCCCAGAGAGCTTCTGCGCCCCAACTCGCTCCGACTCAGGCCCTGGTGGTGATGGTGGAAGAGTCCCATAAGGGGCTTCCGCTCCTCCTTCCGGGCTCCCTCCTTCTCTGCCACAGCCTCCGAGGAGGCCACCATGGGTGTGGCGACCTGGACTGGCTCCCCTCGGAAAGCCGAGCTCCCTCCTGCTCTGCCGAGCGGCTGGCCAGCACTTTGGCCTGGGTGCTCAGCTCCTCCTGTCCAGGCACCACTTCCGAACTGCTGGTGCCTCGGCTGCCTCTGCCCCAGGACTCATCTGCGGGCCGCGGCCTCTCCTCCGAGGGCCGGGAAGAGACACTGTGCAGGGAACTCGAGGCGGGGAATGGGCCCGAGATGGAGCTGCGGTGCCGTGGGGGTCCCTGGGGCTCCTCGTTGT